ACCAGTGCACTGACCCCTGATAGAAGGGGGTCCTCCCATTGGTCACCAATGTAAAGGATCACTACACTGACCACTGATATAAGGGGGTCCTTCACCCATTGATGATAAAGTGTAAGGGACAACAATGCTGACCTCTGATATAAGGGGGTCCTTTGCCAATCGGTCTCCAATTTAAAGGACCACAGCACTAACCACTGATATAAGGGGGTCCTTCACCCATTGATAACCAGTGTAAGGTACCAGTACACAGGCCACTGATATAAGGGGGTCCTTCGCCCATTGATCACCAGTGTAAGGGACCACTACAGAAACCACTGATATAAGGGGGTCCTTTGCCCATTAATCACCAGTGTAAGGGACCACTACACTGACCACTGATTTAAGGGGGTCCTTCACCCATCGGTCTCCAATTTAAAGGACCACAGCACTGACCACTGATATAAGGGGGTCTGTTGCCCATTGATCACCAGTGTAAAGTACCACAACACTGACCACTGATATAAGGGGGTCCTTCCCCCATTGATGACCAGTGTAAGGGACCACTACACTGACCACTGATAAAAGGTGGTCCCTTCACCCATTGATGACCAGTGTAAGGGACCACAATACTGACCACTGATATAAGGGGGTCCTTCGCCCATCGGTCTCCAATTTAAAGGACCACAACATTGACCATTGATATAAGGGGGTCCTTCCCCCATTGATCACCAGTGTAAAGGACCACTACACACCACTGATAAAAGGTGGTCCTTCGCCCATTGATCACCAGTGTAAGGGACCACAATACTGACCACTGATATAAGGGGGTCCTTCGCCCATCGGTCTCCAATTTAAAGGACCACAACATTGACCATTGATATAAGGGGGTCCTTCCCCCATTGATCACCAGTGTAAAGGACCACTACACACCACTGATAAAAGGTGGTCCTTCGCCCATTGATCACCAGTGTAAGGGACCACAATACTGACCACTGATATAAGGGGGTCCTTCGCCCATCGTTCTCCAATTTAAAGGACCACTACACTGACCACTAGGAATGATCCCTGGGTTCAGTTTGACCCAAGAACCAGACAATTTTACTTGTTGGAAGATTCAGAGAATGGGCAAACGAAATGGCTGTTCAGCCAAGTTGAACCCATTACTTTGGCTGCAAATTGTGACGGCTTCCTGCCCAGGCTAGTCGCCAGAGAGTAGGGATGAGCTTACGGCTTTCCCAGCCCCTTCTTCAGCTGAGCACCATATTTAGATTCGATATTTCTTCTGGATCTACACATGGCAGCCTCGGGCTGTTGCTGGTTCCTAAGGAAGCAGTCGGCGCTCGCATCCACCACGTTCCTCGGATTCACTGACATCACCTGGAGTTCATTCTACACAATCAAAATGGCGGGAAAAGCAGTGACATCACTGCTCAAACAGGCAATGTCCATATTTCATCGATGATGTCACCACTATCCCCTCCCCTTGCCTTATATAGCCCATGATACCTCGGGGTTATGTCATTAGCTACTGAAGGATACAATGTACCCTATATTTACTCATGTGGGGGGGGGGTATCTTGGGGCCCCCTTATTATTAAAGGGGGCTTTCAGATTTTGATCAGCCCCTTGTCTGCAGACATTTAACCCTTTGATTGCCCCTAGATATTAACCCCTTCCCAGCCAGTGTCATTAGTACAGCGAGAGTGTACACTGTTATCACTGATCATTGTATTAGTGTCACTGGTGATGTCAGTCAGTTCCTCCCTAGCATCAGTTAGTGTCAGATTGCTTGCCGCACTATCACAGTCCCATAACTCGCTAATCGCCATTAGTAGTATTAAAAATGGGGCAGCACAGTGGCTAAATGGTTAGCACTTTCGCCTGGCAGTACTCGGGTCTTTGGTTCAAATCCCAACCTCAGCACCTCCTGCCTGGAGTTGGCATGTTCTCTCTGTGCCTGTGTGGGTTTCCTCCGGGTACTCCAGTTTTCTCCCAGACTCCAAAGACATGCTGGGAGGTGAATTGGATCCTGTCTAAATTGGTCCTAGTATGTGTATGTATGAATGTGAGTTAGGGATCTTAGATTGTACGCTCCTCGGGGGCGGGGACTGATGTGAGTGTACAGTATATATGTAAAGCGCGGAGTAAATTGACGGCGCTATATAAGTACCTGAAATAAATAAATAAAAAGAAAAAAATCCAGTATATATCCTGTAGTTTGTAGATTCTATAACTTTCACACAAACCCATCAATATACACTTCCTGGGATTAATTTTTTTTTTTTTAACCAAAGACATGGAGCAGAATACACGTTGGTCTAAATTTAAGAAGAATTTTATTTTATTTTTTTTTAAATGTTTTTTATTGGTTATTTTTTATAGCAGAAAATCTAAAATATTGTGTTTTTGTTTTCAAAAATTTTTCATCATATTTTTTTTGTTCATGTGCCAAAAAAAAAAAAAAAAAACACCTAGTGGTGACCGAATACCACCAAAAGAAATCTCTCTTTTTGTGAAAATGATATAAATTTTGTTTGATTACAGTGTCGCATGACCACGCAGTTGCCAGTTAAAGTAGCACAGGGCTAAATAGAAAAAAATGTCCTGGTCATGAAGGGGGGGAGGGGTGTAAAATCTTGTGGTTAAAGGACACTTGTCATATATTTTCCAGCATGATGGACAATTTACCTGTTTGAAATAGAGGTGGAAGATACAGATAATGTTTGATTTCATGGCTGTAATAAGAGCACGGTTTTCAGGTACAACGGTTCATTTATATGTTGTATAGGTGTGGGGACAGCTTTTTGCTGTTTTTATCGTGTGCTTTCAACATATCGTCATTTTACAGTTTATGTTTTTACATCTTTAGTTTAACATATTTATTAAAGTTTTAGTATTTTCGTTATCATTTTGCACTTTTTTTATTCAGTTCCCAGTGGTGTCAAGTGGTGTCTTCTACAGACAGGAAGTGATGTCTTCTACAGACAGGAAGTGATGTCTTCTGCAGACAGGAAGTGATGTCTTCTTCAGACAGGAAGTGGTGACTTTTACAGAAAGGAAGTTCTGGGTGAGAGGTGAGTTTGAAGGAAGTAGAGAGGAGACGTTGCTGGAAGTGGCAGCAGAGGAGGTAATAAGATGTTATTTTATATTTACATCCAGTAACCCCCCCCCCCCTATCATGTCCGAACTCTTCCTCTATTGTCATGTCTGTCTTCTTCTGCCATTGTCACGTCCGCCTTCCTCCACAGTCATGTGATGTCTTTTCTGGTTTTTATAGACCCAGATACATCCTAAATATAGAGCCATTTATCCAACCGTCCATCCAGAGCCTCTGGTTTATAGACCGGATACATCCTAAATATAGAACCATTTATCCAACCGTCCATCCGGAGCCTCTGGTTTATAGACCGGATACGTCCTAAATATAGAGCCATTTATCCAACCGTCCACCCAGAGCCTCTGGTTTATAGACCGGATACGTCCTAAATATAGAGCCATTTATCCAACCGTCCACCAGAGCCTCTGGTTTATAGACCGGATACGTCCTAAATATAGAACCATTTATCCAACCGTCCACCCAGAGCCTCTGGTTTATAGACCGGATACGTCCTAAATATAGAACCATTTATCCAACCGTCCATCCGGAGCCTGTGGTTTATAGACCGGATACGTCCTAAATATAGAACCATTTATCCAACCGTCCATCCGGAGCCTGTGGTTTATAGACCGGATACGTCCTAAATATAGAACCATTTATCCAACCGTCCATCCGGAGCCTGTGGTTTATAGACCGGACACGTCCTAAATATAGAACCATTTATCCAACCGTCCATCCGGAGCCTCTGGTTTATAGACCGGACACGTCCTAAATATAGAACCATTTATCCAACCGTCCATCCGGAGCCTCTGGTTTATAGACCGGATACATCCTAAATATAGAACCATTTATCCAACCGTCCATCCAGAACCTCTGGTTTATAGACCGGAGACGTCCTAAATATAGAGCCATTTATCCAACCGTCCATCCAGAGTCTCTGGTTTATAGACTGTAGAATGTATTTTTTTTTTTTTTCTTCTTAAACTACAAACCAGGGACACGGAGCTCCAATAAAAGGACTGCATGCGGCCCATGAAATATCAGTTTGACCTGCCTGATAACCCTTCTACCCCAAAGTAATAATAATACTTTGGTTGCACTTAAAAGGTGATCTCTGGTTTTGTTTTAGATTACTGAAACATAAAGCCCGTAATAGAGTATAAAAATAGGTCCAAGAGAGATCTAGGAGACCTATGGAGGAATGCTGTGGAGACATCTTCATCCCACTATAGTGCAAATAATTATCTGTTTATTATTCATTGACAGAGTGACGTTTATAGGTCACATGACCAAATCAATAATGATGGACAAAGACCAAAGCCAAGTGATTGAGAGGATATTAGACCTCACCCTGGAGATCATTCATCTGCTGACTGGACAGGTGAGGAGGATTCTGGGAGGCCACATGACATCACTCTCATCTCTATTAATAAAACACAGACCTGACCGGAGAGGAGGATTCTGGGAGGTCACATGACATCACTCATCTCTATTAATAAATCACAGAACTGGCCGGAGAGGTGAGGAGGATTCTGGGAAGTCTGTATTGATAATTGTTACTTTCTCTCTATACACAGGATTATAAAATTGTGAATAAAATATCTGGTGAACCATTAACACCCAGCAGATGTCTTCAAGGAATAACACCCATCACAGGGCCTCCACCTCACTGCCTGGCAACAGAGGGAACCAGTGCCAGGAGGATTCTAGAAGTCACCAAGAAGATGATGGAGCTGCTGACAGGAGAGGTGAGCGGTGCCGGGAATTCTGGGACATTCTCCAATAACAGACAAGGGATGTGTCTGGATGGTGACTGTATCATTGTGTGTGTCAGGTTCCTATAAGGTGTCAGGGTGTCACTGTCTATTTCTCCATGGAGGAGTGGGAGTATTTAGAAGGACACAAGGACCTCTACAAGGATGTCATGATGGACAATCAGCCGCCCCTCACATCACCGGGTAAGAGGAGACTTTATTGGAAAGGAGAGAGCAGTACGGAGGGTCCACCTAGATCCCCCATCATCTGATAAACACATAGAAACAATGGATTCAGTCAGTGTGTGTGTTTCCTACAGATGGATCCAGTCATGGGAACCCACCAGAGAGATGTCCCCGTCCTCTGTATTCCCGGGATTCCCCACAGGAAGATCACACCATCCCTCGCCATCATCAGGTAGGTGGGACACAACATGAACACCTTTGGGAGGACATTTGTCTATGTAATCAATTGTTCCTTTTATGTTCTGTCATCTTTGGGGTTTAGGATGAACTGAAAAACATCAAAGCTGAGGATAAAGAGGAAGAAGAAGAGACATTTCGGAATGGAGCTCAGCAGTCTATGGAGGAGGGTGAGATGATCATGAAAAGTAATCAGTATGAATCTTCTCTACATAAGTGGCAGCACTGTATAGGATACCCCAAAGGAAGATGGGTCTAGAGTTGGAACCACACTGGAGCACTATGAGAGAGGATGGTCCTGGAAACAGGACAAAGATCACTCTGGAGTGTGCAAGACATTGAAGTAGGATCAGATAGTCCAAGGGGAAAGTAGTTAACATGGGATCCCCCATGGCACAGAGTCTAAGGATCAACCAGTATTCATCAGAGCTCCTGATTATGGAGATGCATATACATTGCATTATGGCTCCAGTAGTACTCCACTTTACTCAAGACCAGGGACTTGGAGACAAGAAGATATCAGGAAGATGGTCAGAGCAGGAAGGTATACTGTGGTGACAGTTCAGCGGATGGAGCTGAGTGAGGAAGTTACAGGTCAGTGGTCAGTTTCGGGGCAGTTCGTAACCAAGAACAAAGCCAAGGGTCAGGGCAGGTAGAGGATTTGGATAACTGGGAACAGAGCAAAGAGCCAAGGCAAGTAGCTGCTTTATATAGCAAGGAAACAAACCCAGAGGTTGGTATATGGGAATCAATGAAGAAAAGCAGGATGGGTAACAGGCTGATACAGAGCACGGCAGCTAGCTTGCAAAAATCATTGCTCGATCAACAGATTTCTGATATGGAAGGTCCATCTCCATTCCTCAATATAACGTCATGTTCCCAACAAATGAGGAGGAGATACTGGACACCATATGAAAGGTCCATCTCCATTCCTCAATATATGATCATGTTCCCAACAAATGAGGAGATACTGGACACCATATGAAAGGTCCATCTCCATTCCTTAATATTACGTCATGTTCCCAACAAATGAGATACTGGACACCATATGAAAGGTCCATCTCCATTCCTCAATATAACGTCACGTTCCCAACAAATGAGGAGGAGATACTGGACACCATTTGAAAGGTCCATCTCCATTCCTCAATGTAACGTCATGTTCCCAACAAATGAGGAGGAGATACTGGACACCATATGAAAGGTCCATCTTCATTCCTCAATATAACGTCATGTTCCCAACAAATGAGGAGGAGATACTGGACACCATATGGAAGGTCCATCTCCATTCCTCAATATAACGTCATGTTCCCAACAAATGAGGAGGAGATACTGGACACCATATGAAAGGTCCATCTCCGTTCCTCAATATAACGTCATGTTCCCAACAAATGAGGAGATACTGTACACCATATGAAAGGTCCATCTCCATTCCTCAATATAACGTCATGTTCCCAATAAATGAGGAGGAGATACTGGACACCATATGAAAGCTCCATCTCCATTCCTCAGTATAATGTCGTGTTCCCAACAAATGAGGAGGAGATACTGAACACCATATGAAATAGGGTGGAGGAACGTCAATCTCTGATCTTCACTAGAATGGTAGAAGCACAAACCCTGTCACCCTGTATGGTTTGGTTGTATTCTATCCTTCCAGATTGTATTTCTCTTTTTATTGCACCCAGTTTAATGACAAAACTTTTCTAGTGCTAGATCAACCCATATGACTTCTGAACGCAATGAATGAATAATAATATTGAGTTAAAAAAAATTTTCCAGCAGGTGGCCGCTATGCTTGGAATATCTCTGAGGGACATCTTGTGTTATCTCCAAATTATAATGAGAAATCTAATGACATCCCCCAAAATTTTCCAGGAGAAAACATCATTATTCAAAATATACAGAAATCAATGGATCCCTCCAATCTTGACAAATCATCTGATCGATCCCATACTGTCACTCCAGGTACACATCGAAGATCTCACAGTACGGAGAGATCCACAGATCCATTGAATCCCAAGGAATCTTCCTTAAGCCAAGAGGAAGTCCCCGCAGGAGAGAGTTCGTTGTCATGTTCGGTGTGCAGAAAATCTTTTACTAAAAACAGAAACCTTCTTCGACATCAGAGAATTCACTTGGGGAAGCACCCCTATTCATGTTCAGAGTGCGGGAAAACTTTCACCAAAAAAAGAGACCTTCTTAGACATCAGAAAATTCACGTGGTTGAGCGTCCCTATTCGTGCACAGAGTGCGGGAAATGTTTCAATAAAAAGTACAAGCTTGTTAAGCACCAGAAGATTCACAAAGCTGAGCGTCCTTATGCATGCTCAGAGTGCGGGAAATGTTTCAACGAGAAAGGAATGCTTCTTAGACACCAGAAAAGTCACACAGGTGAACGTCCCTATTCATGTTCAGAGTGCGGGAAATGTTTCAGTCGGAAAGGCACCCTGCTTATCCACCAAAGAAGTCACACGGGTGAGTTTCCCTATTCATGCTCAGAATGCAGTAAGTGTTTTATTCAGAAGAGAAACTTTCTTACACATAAGAAAAGTCACACTGGTGAGCGTCCCTATTCGTGTTCAGAGTGCGGGAAATGTTTCACTGAGAAAGGAAGACTTCTGAAGCACCAGAGAATTCACACAGGTGACCTTCCTTTTTCATGTTCAGAATGCGGGAAATGTTTCAGTGAGAAAAAGAGTCTTGTAACACATCAGACAGTTCACACCGGTGAGCGCCCCTATCCGTGTTCAGAGTGTGGGAAATGTTTCGCTTACAAAGGGAACCTTGTTACACACCAGAAAATTCACATGGGTGAACGCCCTTATGTATGCCCAGAGTGTGGGAAATGTTTCAGTCAGAAAGCAAGCCTTCTTAGACACCAAAGATATCACACGGGCGAGCGTCCCTATTCCTGTTCAGAGTGCGGGAAATGCTTCACTGAGAAAGTAAGCCTTGTTAGACACCAGAGAACTCACACGGGTTAACAAGGCAGGAAGACTGGGAGCCCCTCAAAACAACCATAATAGTTATGTAGACCGAGGAAGTCTAGAGATATCCGTATACCAATTAACTTTTGTAACCCTGTGAGCCTCAGAATATCTGATAGACAAACTGGGATAGACACAGGGGGCGCTGCAAAGTAAAGGCATGGCAAAGCATTAAGTAACTCCCCCAGAGGACACCATAACTGGTAATCCATGGGCAAGTAAGACCATACGTGGGCAAAACACCAGCAATTCTGATAGCAGGTGGGCAACAAATGTGGGTAACTCCCCCAGAGGACACCATAACTGGTCATCCATGGGCAAGTAAGACAATACATGGGCAAAACACCAGCAATTCTGATAGCAAGTTGGCAACAAATGTGAGTAACTCCCCCAGAAGACACCATAACTGGTCATCCATGGGCAAGGAAGACCATACGTGGGCAAAACACCAGCAATTCTGATAGCAGGTGGGCAACAAATGTGGGTAACTCCCCCAGAGGACACCATAACTTGTCATCCATGGGCAAGTAATACCAAACATGGGCAAAACACCAGCAGTTCTGATAGCAGATGGGAAACAAATGTGGGTAACTTCCCCAGAAGACACCATAACTGGTCATCCATGGGCAAGGAAGACCATACGTGGGCAACACACCAGCAATTCTGATAGCAGTTGGGCAACAAATGTGGTTAATTCCCCTAGAGAACACCATAACTTGTAATTTATGGGCAAGGAAGACCATATGTGGGCAAAACACCAGAAATTCTGATAGGTGGGCAGCAAATGTGGGTAACTCCCCCAGAGGACACCATAACTGGTCATCCATGGGCAAGGAAGACAATATGTGGGCAAAACACCAGCAATTCTGATAGCAGGTGGGCAACAAATGTGGGTAACGTCCCCAGAGGACACCATAACTGATAATCCATGGGCAAGTAAGACCATACGTGGGCAAAACACCAGCAATTCTTATAGCAGATGGGCAACAAATGTGGGTAATTCCCCTAGAGGACACCATAACTGGTAATTTTATGGGGCAAGGAAGACCATATGTGGCCAAAACACCAGAAATTCTGATAGCAGGTGGGCAGCAAATGTGGGTAACTCCCTCAGAGGACACCATAACTGGTCATCCATGGGCAAGTAAGACCATATGTGTGCAAAACACCAGCAATTCTGATAGCAGATGGGCAACAAATGTGGGTAACTTCCCCAGAAGACACAATAACTGGTAATCCATGGGCAAGTAAGACCATACGTGGGCAACACACCAGCAATTCTGATAGCAGGTGGGCAACAAATGTGGGTACATCCCCTAGTGGACACCATAACTGGTAATTTATGGGCAAGGAAGACCATATGTGGGCAAAACACCAGAAATTCTGATAGCAGGTGGGCAGCAAATGTGGGTAACTCCCCCAGAGGACACCATAACTGGTAATCCATGGGCAAGGAAGACCATACATGGGCAAAACACCAGCAATTCTGATAGCAGGTGGGCAACAAATGTGGGTAACTCCCCCAGAGGACACCATAACTGGTCATCCATGGGGAAGCAAGACAATACGTGGGCAACACATTGGTAATGGTGACAGCAGGTGGGTAACGTACTGGCAACCATGATAATACATGGGGCAACAAATGGGCAATCATGGCACCACATGGACAACTGTACCAATACAAAGACACCAAAAAAACTAATAAAGAAACATCCAATGCAATCAGCATTTCTCTTTTAGCCATGGACCTCTAAGTTGCAATTCGCTGCTGCATGTCCTTACTCTTTGTTGGCTTAATCGTAGAAGCTGGCTTCTCATTGGTCCAGACTATGTACAATTAATTCATTTTAACGTAATTTATACAAGATTTTCATTGAAGGCTCTGGTTTTATTGTATGTCAATGTATTATTATGATTTTCTAAAATAAACAAGAAAAATCTACACTTTACACAATGTTTTTACCACAATTCTTGGATTATGGGTGATTGGAATCTGCTCGGTCATCCAGCCA